CCAACCCCCAGCCCTGCTGGTGCCCCTCACTTCCCCCCCACAACAGCCCCCAAGCCCTACTGGTGCCTCTCATTCCCCCCGCACAGGCCCTCCAGCTCTACTTGTGTCTCTTGTCCCTCACCCACAGCCCCTGCCCCCTCCACCCCTGCCGAAGGGGGCCCCCAGCTGCCAGAACTATGGGACCAAGGACCTAGGTCCGCAGCCACCTGCCCCGACAGGCAGCTCTTCTGCAAAAGAAGAAGCACGGAGCCAGCTCCCCCCTGCTGTAGGCTTGGGCAGGGGCAGGTGTGGAGATGGCTCCCAGCCACAGCACACACTCCCAGCGGGCAGAGGGGACCCACGTTCCCCAGATCTGTGCACAGCGGGTATGCGCTGTGAGCTTGTGCTTCCTGCCCTGCTGCCCTCTGTGCTGCAGAGACCCTGGGGGAGGGCAGCCAGGTGGGGAGCACCAGCCTGCAGCACACACCCACCCCACACAGATCTGGGGGGCATGGGCTCCCCCTTTCCCCAGGAGTGCATGCTGTGGTGGGGAGCTGGCCCTACCTCCACCCTCAAACAAGCCACCTGTGGCCTCATCCTGCTCCCCACCGAGGCTCTGAGGCCACACACTGCAGCCCTGGGCCCCAAGCCCCACACACTGCCCAGCAGGGCAGCAGCCCCAGTTCAGCCCAACTCCCTCCCTATGGGGGCCTCAATCCCCCGCTTTTACCTGGAGGAGCTGCTGTCCAGGCTGCCTGGGGCCATGTGCATGTACATGCATGGCACCCCCTGCCTGACTGCCCTGGTCCTGCTCCCTCCCAGTGACCTGCAGGCTGGAACTCTGCCAGCCTACAAAGGGCTCACTGAAAAACTACAAAGTTCATGGGCTTCTCTGCTAAAATGAGAAATTGACATTTTACTCTAGTAAAGGGGAAATCTGTGGTTTACTCTGTTTTTCCATGGGAAACGGAAAACCCAGATCCCTCCTGATGACCCTCCAGTGGTAGGACAGGGGCTAGTTGGTACAGCTCCTAGAGCTGCTGCCATAGGTGCCAACTTTGGTTTTTGCCAGTGGGTGCTTTATTTTATTTATTTATTTATTTGCATCCCCGCAGCAAGCCCCACACATGCCAAGAAAAGGCAGCGCGTTACTTCAACCTGGCTCACCAGACATGGTTTGTGGGTGCTGAGCATCCACTCATTTTTTTCTGTGGGTGCTTGAGCCCCAGAGCACCCATGGAGTTGGTGCCTATGGCTGCCACATTAGTGCAACCCTAGATGAGCAGTCACTGATCTGAATCACCACTGGCAACTAAGGACCCTGCATTTGGTAACAGGAAAGGGTGTCAGGATGGGAGCAGGCAGTGGTGTTTGCCTCCTTAGTTCCAAAGCCATACCAGTAAGCAGTAGGGGTGTGCGAAACGGGCCCTATCCGTATCTGAGCTGAATTCAGTCCAAATCAGAGACAGCGATTCAATTCATTGATTCGGATCACTGTCCCCTATTTGATTCAGCCAAATCCGAATCCAAGGATTCAATGCTGTTTTGGAGAATCAGCGAGTCGGCCATAGACACAGCTTTAAATGTTTTTTCTATATACCTCGAGGTACCAGGCACGGCTCGTGAACACTGCAATGCCAGGGCAGATGAAGCGTCCCACGGAAGTGGGGGGGTGGGGGTGGAATCCCCAGTACATTTGGCAGCAGACCCAGAAGTGGACCAGAAGCTCTTCCAGTCCACTTCCAGGTCCACCGGTGAGTGCGCTGGGCCGCACCCCCCTACTCCCCCAGCTCGGCAGTCAGCCATGGGGGACCCTGGGTGTGTCCCCAGACCCAGGAGGCACCAGTCGCTGAGCTGAGGGGGGGCGCGGGGGCCCCCCCACATGCTCTCCGGCAGACTCGGAAGTGCTTCTGGTCTAACTTTTGGGTCTGCTGCCAAGCGGGCTGGGAACTGCCCCCCCCAACACTCCTGTGGAACACTCCATCCACCCCACCATCTCAGCTTTCACGAGCCACCTGGTACCTTGAGGTATGTAGACAGAACATTTGAAGCTGCATCTATGTCTGAATCGCCGAATCTCTCTGATTCGATTCAGAGAGATTAAAAGGTCCCGATTTGATTTAGATTCAGAGGTTCGGCCACCAAATCGAACCAAATCTCTGCCGAGTCAAATCGGTGAGCAAAGCTTCGTACCGCCCTAGAAAGCAGCACCAGCAGCTGAACCAACAAGCTCTACAAGAGGCAGTTTCATCCCTCACAGGCCACATGTTATCTCAGCTGCCACTTGGACAGCAGGGCTAAGTGATTTCAGTTAGGTATCCTCTTACAACATCTGCTTATTGCATCTCCTCCAATGACCTCAGAGAGAAGATTTAGAATTCACCACTCCTTAAGCATCAAAAAGCCTCATCTATTGTTTATCTCTGAAATTTAAAAACAAACCAAACTTCACTGGCCATCTCCTATACAAATATCTAACTGCTGTGTTAAGCCTTCTCCAATGTAAATATCTCTTGCTGTATTATATCCACTTCAACAAGGGATGCCTTGCTAATAATATTCAATTATACTTCTAATTGATCCTTAACACGTGACAAGAGCTGTTCTGTTTATCACAGCTAATTTGATTCAGTTGTCTAGTGCAGTCTCTCTCATCAGCTCTCTCTAAAAAATAGAGAAAAGCACCAGTATCAACAATTTAGAAACTTAAACACTTACCGTGGATCTTTTGCATTCAAAAAATGAAATCTGCAAACTTCTGCAGTGTCCTTCCTTCAAGCATTGTTTGGGGTTTTTCCCTTCCTGTTACGGCAAAATACAGGAGTGTAAAAATGGAGCAGCTCTCATTAGTAGAGAGAGCAGTTACAGGTAAGGAACTGTTAAGGGCTTAGTACAAGCTGCTAGAAGTCTGCCTAGTTTTTTTCAACAAGAGATGCTTCTGGGTCTAAACGGTGCATCCTTCATTGTATTTAACTCCCAGGTGAGAAATTCTGAGAGCAGGAAAAGCCCAGGGAATAATTGTTTTGTTTCCCACCCCTATAACCAATTTAGTAAAAGCTCACAGATAGTTTCAGTGACAGCACAGGTGTCCGTAGCAACTGGGCGCCTTATAAAACAAAACCTCAACCGTTTTTTTGTTACTGAGCATCTAAGGGCTGTTTTCTTTCCTTGACGCCAGCTGGAAGTCAGGACTTCACTATTCATCACACCCCCAGAGCTAATTAGCTATGATAAAAACAAAGACCAGTGAACACAGGCTCATTACTGCCAACGCTGTTAGGAACTGGACTGACTGAGGTAGAGCCCACAGCCCCTTGTCATCTGGCCCAAAGGGGTCCCATGAGTATGGCAGTTTCACAGCAGGAAAGCAGTAGTACCGCCCCCTTTTCTGGGCATGTGGGGAACTCCAGGCCCTGAGCTGAACCAGGGGGCCCAATCCCAGAGTAGCAGGCTGGCAGGGGCGGGGCCAGAGCCCCCAGGGGACCAACCCCGGCTGGAGTGGGCGGGGCCGTGTCACCCAGGGGACCAACCCCGGCTGCAGGGTGGGTCGATCCTACGTCACGTGCGCGAAGTCTCGCGCTCCCGGTCGGTCGCTGATTGGCTGCGTGTCACGTGCCAGTGGAGGACGAGGGGCCAACGGGCCCTCAACCGTCGTTAGAGGCGCATCCCTCCCGCCCCGCTCTGGCGCACCTTTAGGACACAGTCACTCTCCAGCAGGCAGGACTGCAGGTCCTCCCTGAACCCCGAGCAGGGCCGCCCGCTCTCCTCCTTCCCCTCGTAGTACTTCGGCATCGCCGCCCTGCCCGCTCCTTCTTGCCGCCACCGCGGAGCTTAGGGCACCGCCATCTTGCCGCCCTCCGACCCCGGAAGCTTTTCCCACCCCTCCCGGAAGCGAACGAACTGGGCCTTGCCGGCACGTGACGGAGAAGCGCGCCTCTGCAACGTTGCCGGAAGCCGGGGGCCGCGGCGACGGGTGAGCAGGACTGGTCCGTTTGAAACGTGGGCGAGGGGGCCAGGCCCGTCGTGGAGGCCTAGGGGCGCTGGTGATTGGTGGGGAGCGGGGTTGGGGATGGGGCCCGGCGCACGAGTGGCGCTGGGGACGTCATAGGGAGCCGGTTCCTGGCGGGGTGCCTGAGGGCCCTTGAGGGGGCGGGGCTCGGCTCTGACGGCACGGGGGGCTGGGCTCGTTCGGTCCCACGAGGGTGACGCAGCTCTTCTCCCCCCCTTCCAGCAGGATGCTGCCCACCGCACAGGTGGCGGGCAGTGGCGGAGAGGCGATGGCAGCGCGGGAGGCGGCACGGCACACAGCAGGCGCCAAGCGCTACAAGTACCTGCGGCGGCTGCTACACGCGCGGCATATGGACTTCGAGTTTGCACTGTGGCAGATGCTGTACCTGTTTACCGCGCCGCAGCGCGTCTACCGCAACTTCCACTACCGCAAGCAGACCAAGGACCAGTGGGCGCGTGATGACCCTGCCTTCCTCGTACTGCTCAGCATCTGGCTCTGTGGTGAGCGCCAGGCTGTGGGCATGGCGGCTGTCCGGGGCCCGCTGGCTTGGTGAGGACAGGCCCCAGTGGGTGTACATGGTGCTGGCCACACAGCTGAGTTTCAGGTTGGCCTCTCCGGGTGTCTCTGGTCAGCAGCGCCTGCCTGCCTGACACCCTGAAGCTCTGTGGAAGGACCCTGCAGCAGCCTGGGGGCCTGTGCCCCCTGCTTGAGAAGCACAGCATGTGTGGGGCTGTTTCATATGGCCCAAGGGCCAGATTGGGTGATGGAGCTCCATGATTCAGCCTAGGGGTCCTGGACCAGCCCCATGAGCTGCCTGTGCTGGCCTGGCCATGTGTGCTGGCTCCAGGGTGGATGCAGATCAGAACCAGAGCAGGGCAGGCACGGGCAGCACACACAGCATCTGCCCTGTGCCAACAGAGACCTGGGCAAGCAGGGCTGGTGCAGGGTGTGCATCACATGAGGGGCCTGCACTGGCCCAGTCCTACATGCTGGCTCCTGCATTGAGCTGGCCTCTGAGCCTTATCCCACCCTGCACCCTTCATCCAGCCCTGTAGGCTTTTTGATGCCTCTGCTCAAGAGTGATCTCTATCCCCTGTCATATTCTCCCTTGACATCTGCCATCATTGGTTTTTTGGTGGCAGATGATACATCCCTGACTGTTGTGTTTAGACTAATTCTTGGATGATAACTATTAGTTTCATAGATTTCATAGACATTAGGGCTGGAAGGGACCTCGTAAGATCATCAGGTCTAGCCCCCTACCCAAGAGTCAGGAAGTTGGTTAGGGTCAAAGGATCCCAGCAAGATAAGCGTCCAAATGTTTCTTTTCAACCTGGCCATACTCTCTGCCTTTGCAGCCAGCTGTGATAATGAGTCTACAAGTTGATTACACGCCATGTGGTGGGGATGGAGAAGATGTTCCAAAGATGCCATCCAGCTCACAGGGCTCCTGGAGAGGCTGGGGATTTGGAGGTGGGGCGGGGCAGAGAGTCCCACTGGGGATGTTTCAGGACTGGCAGAACAAGCTATGGCTGCGTTAATCCCCGCAGCTCCCTGGGCTGGCGCAGCAGCTTAGGCACCCACAGTGGTTAATGCTGCTGCAGCTTTTATTCCTCTGGAGGAGAGTCTGGATGTGGCTCATGGGGAGCCTTGTGGGGCCAGGAGAGTTTGACATGGTATTAGTGAGAAGGAGGGGGGAGAGTTTTATCTTTCAGGAAAGGTGCAGGGTTTTTCTCAACCCTGCAGAAAGGGTCCTAGTCACTTGGAGAGGTAGCTAGCTGTGTTAGTCTGAAGCAAGGGCAGAGATGCACCTTACCGATTAACTGAAAGCTTAGGCATCTCTGATTCAGTTAGTCCAGAAGTTGATTCTCTGCCTTTCCTTTTGGTAGGGTAGAGATGTTTTGTATGTGAAAACTCAAAAAAAAAAGTTGCTGAGGTATCTACCCTCCTGGACATTATGGTAACCAATTAGGCATTAGAAAACCCAGGAAAGCTCCTGCACCTGCCTGTGCTTAGCATCCTTGAAGGACTCCTCTTTAAGTTTATTATGCTTAAGCTTTAAACTGAGTGGGTTCCAAAAAAGGGGTGAATATTGGAACCAAGACCACAGGAATAAATTACTTAAAAATGGGGTGTTTGTTGTGGGATGTGAATGTTTTGCCATTTAGAAAGTGTGCTTAATGGAGTAATAAAAGGCACCAGTGCAGAAAGAGGCCCTCAGAAATCCAGGTCTCTGCACATAAGCTTCTGGCTGCATTTTAAAAAGCAGTGCAAAAAAAACCCCACTTTCTAGAGCACTTTGCTAATGGATGGCATAGCACTTGTAGTCATAGCAAAGCTGGTGCAACTGAAATGCTAATATTCTTGGGCTAGATAGTATTTTCTTGAAAGTCCCAAGGGAACTCCTGAAGTAAATGTCTCAGATGTACTATACTTTAATATAAAATGGACTAAAAATCCAGCTGTCAGTCAGAAGACTATAGCTGGTACCAGTCTTCAGAGCAAGATGACAATGCGTGCTTGAGCATAGCGTAGGGGTGTACCGATAAGGATTTTCTTGGCCAATACCATTAGCCAATTATTCACCAGCCATGTTGGCCAATGCTGATCCCCTAACCCAGGGCTGGGCAATGATTTTGGGCCAGTTTTGGCAGGCTGTTGAGGGCTGCATGGGTAGCCCCACCCTTTTACAGATACCCCTCCCCCTGGTCACCATCTTGGGACTGACTCCCTGCCTACTCACACCCAGTGTCCTCCAGCCCCAGGTACAGGCGGAGGGCAGTGCTCAGCCCCAACCCCGTGCTAGCCAGCAGGCAAGAAGCTGATGCTGAGCATGGAGAAAAGTGGCCCCTGGCCTGCCCCATGGCAGGCACCCCATACTGCAACTGCTCACAGCCCATGTGCGGCTGTCTGGAGCAGGCACAGGTAGCCTCATGCAGGCTGCAAGTGGCTACAGTGCGGGGCGCTGGCCATGCGGCAGGCCAGGGGCCACTTTTCCCC